AAAAAAAAAAAAAGAAAAAAAGAAAAAAAAAAAAGAAATATGCCCAAACCAAAGACCATGAATTTCCAGATTGAAAGGGCTGCTAGTATCCAACCTAATGGATGAAAACAGACTCGCACCAAAGTGAAATCTCAGAACACTGGGAGCAAAGAAAAGATTCTACAAGCTTCTACAGAGAATTAGTAGGTAACATTACAAGGGTTAGGAATCTGGGCGCCTTCAGCCTTCATGAACAACAACCGTGGAAGCTAGAAAACAGAGTGATGCCTTCGAAGGAGAATCCTTCCCAATCTAGAATTTCCAGTCTAGAATTTGATACCCAGTAAAACCATCAATCAAGGGTGAAGGTAGAAAGGAGACATTTTCAGACCCGTGCCATCCCAAATACGCACCTCCTGTGCCATCTTTCTCAAGAAGTTACTAGGTGGTGGGCTCCCCTAAAACCTGACAGGAACTTTGGGTGATAGGAGATGGGGTGTGGGGGTGGGGGGCAGGTGGAATCCCCACTAGGGTGGTGAGAGCCCAGGCTCCAGCCATGCCCTAGACCTCCAGGGCCACCAGTCTACCCTGGGGCCCAATGACTCAGAGACAGGAACATCGAAGACTTGCCACCAAGATCCCTCTGCCACTAGAACCCCTTTGATGCCTGAGTACAGTGCTGCGAGACCCTGGTTCCGACTCTGGTCCAGACTTGGCTTGTCTTACATTGATGTAGTTCCTGCCCTCTCCCCCATGTCCTGTTGCCTGGATCCGCCCAGCAGGACCCTCGTGACACCCTCAAGAAGTGGCTTCCGCTTTGAGCTACTCCTCAGGGTTGGAGGGAGCAACTATGAACCTAAAAGCAGAAACTCAGAGCAGCGCACTCACTGTGACCACACTTTTGCAGATGTCCCACACCTGGTCGCCCAGATGCCCCAACTGAATCCTCACGACGTGGCCAGCTGACTTCCCTGAGCGGGGTCCTGTGGGTGTGGCGCCCTTTCCCATGCTTTTGCTTTCTTTTCTTTTCTTTTTTTTTGAGACAAGTTCTTGCTGTGTCGCCCAGACTCGAATGCAGTAGCATGACCTTGGCTCACTGCAACCCCTGCCTTCGCCTCCCAGGTTCAGCCCATTCTCGTGCCTCAGCCTTCCCCAGTAGCTGGGATTACAGGCATGTGCCACCACACACGGCTAATTTTTTAATTTTTAGTAGAGATGGGATTTCACCATGTTGGCCAGGCTGGTCTCGAACTCCTGACCTCAGGTGATCTGCCCACCCATCTCCCAAAATGCTGGGATTACAGGCATGAGCCACCGCACCCAGCCCCCATACGCATTCTGGAGACTCTCAGTGAACCCGGGAACAACCCCCAGCCTCACCTGGGCTCCAGCCGCTCCTTCACCTTGGCAATGGAGAGGACATAGGGCGTGATCTGCCTGGTGATGGTGGTCAGGTAGGCATTCTCCTGCCTCAGCTGGAGAAGGTCATGGAGCTGGGCTGTGGAGCCAAGGCCAGAGCAAGGGGTCCTAACCCTGAAGCACCTGGCTTCAGGTTTTTATTCAAGCTGGGCACCATCTAAATATCCCAAAGTTTCCATGATGACCTCTAGTTAAAGAGTGAGGCACCTGATGGGGCATTCACTCAATGAGTCCTGACCTTACATGCACCATTTGGGGCCAGTTAGCAGCTGGAGGCAAAGTCAAGCACTAGGCGGGAGAGCGCAGGGATCTGCGCATGGTTAATGGCCAACTCTGACTTCCTCCCCTGCTAGCATGTGGGTTAAATCAGGGGCAGGGAGTTCACTCAGCAGCCAGCTGCCTGGAACCTTCATAAATCTCCTGCTCCTTAGCCACTCGCTGATAGGACTCCTCCCAAATCTGAAAGAGAAAAGCAGGATGTTGGATGTGGCAGTGATGGAATTCGCAGTGGTGGCATTGCTATCTCTAGCCACTCGGATCTACAAAGCACCCCCAGCCAGGTCCACACGGTTCCAAGCAGCAAAGACTCCCAGGTTCCAGACCCTGCCACATGAGGATCCCGTGGGCACAGACCAGGTCCTCTTTACCCCCTTACTGTCTTGGGGTAGCCCAGGTGCCCCCTGACAGGTGCGGCTGGAGTTAGAGTCCTTGGGAGGGCTACCTCCTGGAAGATGACCCTCATGCCCTCTAAGGAAGCGTGCTCCGAGGCGATCCGCGTGTCCAGCTGCAGGGACTTGCGCAGGACGTCTCCCATGATCTCCGCCTTGATGAGTGAGTGGTGCTTGGTGAGGTCCCGGTGCAGCTCCTGTACCTGGTCCTTCAGGTTCTGCATCTCCACCTGCAGGCGCTGCACCGAGAGGCCATGTGAGGGCATGGGGTCACCCTAGGCTGATTTTAGTTTTTTGGTTTTGTTTTCTTTTTGAGACGGAGTTTTGCTCTTGTCGCCCAGGCCGGAGTGCAATGTCTCAATCTCAGCTCACCACAACCTCCGCCTCCCGGGTTCAAGCAAGTCTCTCCTGCCTCAGCCTCCCGAGAAGCTGGGATTACAGACATGCGCCACCACGCCCGGCTAATTTTGTATTTTTATCAGAGATGGGATTTCTCTATGTTGCTCAACCTGGTCTCGAATGCCCTACCTCAGGTGATCCACCCGCCTCAGCCTCCCGAACTGCTGGGATTACAGGCATGAGCCACGGTGTCCAGTCTCACCCTAGGCTGTTTTTACTGCCAGGGCCTTGGTGAGGAATGGCTCCCAGGTTCAGCGGCTGGGACAACTCGATTTGCCTGAGCGTATCTTGGTGAGGGGTGGGTTAGGACACCAACCACCTGCAGATCCCTGGCCCCCTCACCCGATAGGAGTCCTCATAGTGGCGGCAGTGCTGTGTGAAGGGCGTGTTCTCGCCCTCTGCCAGCAGCACCTCGGTGCCCACGGATCGGTGCAGCATGGGCTTTTTGACAGGTGACCCCGACATCTTTCCTGTCGGGGAGGGGCAGTGGGGCCCTGTCAGCACCTTTGGGCCTGAGCCCCCTGCCAGCCTGTGGAGAGAGCCAGTTTGGATGCAGGGGAGGAGGGGGTGAGGAAGTCTGCCCCTCCCCCAGCCTCCCGGTTCCCTCCCCTGGACGGCTCTCACAGCCCTCTCTACCACCTGGAGAACAGCAGAGCCACTGAGAGCTTTGAAAAGCCTGAGGCTGAGGCCTCACCTGGACATCCACATCTATTTGTTTGTTTGTTTTTGACATAGAGTCTCACTCTGTCACTCAGGCTGGAGTGCAATGCAATGGTGCGATCTTGGCTCACTGCAACCTCTGCCTCCCGGCTTCAAGCGATTCTCCTTCCTCAGCCTCCTGAGTAGCTGGGATTACAGGTGTGTGCCACCACGCCTGGCTAATTTTTGTATTTTTAGTAGAGATGGATTTTCACCATGTTGGTCAGGCTGGTCTCCAACTCCTGACCTCATGATCCGCCCGCCTCAGCCTCCCAAAGTGCTGGGATTACAGGCATGAAACACCGTGCCCGGCCCACATCTATTTTTAAAGTCCCTGGTGTGGGTTCCAGGGTGTGGGGCCAAGAGTGAGTCCATGGGAATGCTGCCAGGGCTAGGACCAAGGGAATGGTGTGTTCACCTCCACGCTGCACAGAAGACGTGTGAACCCAGTCTCTCTTGGTCTTTGGGGCCCCTGGGCACACACATGCCAGTTTCAGCATTTCTCCTAACTCCTCCTCAGATGAGCTCAGGAATCAGGTGCCCTTCGGCTTCCGGCCACTGAGGTGGCAGTCAGCCCAGCCCCACGCATCCCACCCCAGGAGAGGCTGCAGTGGCGGCTGGGGGCCTGAGTCCTCCCCTCGTCATTTGGCCAAGCTCCAAGCCAGGTCTGCCATGGGCTACAGGTCCAGGACTTCCTGTTCCCCTCCTTGGTGGACTCACCCTAGCCATTGCCTGTGCCCAGTCACTGTACCGGGAGGGTGGCGAACTAAGGATGGCGGAAGGAAGGGTGGCACCTGGCTTTTCCCTATCTGGCCCCTCAGCACCCTCCCGCCCCCATATCCCCGTGGAGGAGACCGCCCGCCGTCCCCGTTGCTGCTCACATGCTCGCACCACCCACTGCAGCTGCCACCCGGCGCGGCCCCAGCAGCAGCAGCGGCTCCAGACAGCGCGCGAACTCAGCTCGGTGGTCACTGGCAATCTGGGCGGTAAGATGGGGTCACGAGGTGGCCTCCACTGCCCTGCAGGACCCCCGACCCTGGCCCACCCAGACCACTTCACACCTTGCTGCTCTGCGCAGGCCTCAGGCGGTGCGGCCGTGTGACGATGCCCTGCAGCCTCTCCATCAGCTCCTGTGGCAACCAGGAGGGCCTCAGGCCGGTGGGGGGGTGGCAGCCAAATCCACAGGAGGGGGGCGGCTGGACTCCAGTGGCATCCTGCCCCATGGGGACTGGGGGCTCATGCCCCCTTCCTGGCTTCACTGTCCTTATAACAGTGGCCCTAGCTGGTTTGCAGATGATGGAGTTGGGAGGGGAAGGTCAGCCCCAAGACCCCTGGTCCAGGCTCCAGGTGACAGGCTGCCCACCCCTGAGTTGGTGGCCTTGGTCTGCAGGGTGGTTTCCTGGTGGGGAGGGGACATCTGCAGGCAGGGAGGAGACTCACGTAGCCCAGGTCCAAGAACTCAGCCTTGTTGGCCAAGCTGAGGAAGGAGGAGCAGATGACCAGATGGACCTGAGTGGGGGGACACTGCTCAGTACCTGGGGGGGAGGGACCCCCCCATGCACCCTGAGCTCCCTGTACCTGCAGGGTGGGCAGCAAGGTGGCCAAGTGAGAGAGCTGCTCCTTGAAGGCCTTGTCCTTCTCTTCATATTGGCTGGGGGAGGGGGATGCCTGGTCTCCAGGGGGCCAGGAGCAGGACCCGGCAGTCTCATCCCTCTGCCAGCTTCACATGTCCATCCCCACACTCCTTCTCTGCACCCTGAGCCATGCTGCCCTCCTCAGCTGGGTGGACACCCAGATGTCTTGCTCCCCAGCGTGGGCTAGGGCCTGACCAGGCTCTGAGCTGAGGGCATGGAGTCCAAGGGGCAAGGGGAGAAGACCCCCCTTCCCCACTCACCTCTGCACAGCCTGAAGCAGCAGCACTTTCCTCTCTGCCAGCCTGTCCTGGAAGAGACGGCGGGCATGCTCTTGATTTGCACCCTCAGCCCTGCCACTTCTCACCATGCCTCCCCCCCCCTCACCACAGCCACCTGCTGGTTAGGCTCGGTATCTCAGCATCCACTGCCTGAGGGCTGGAGGTCCCCTCCCCTTAAAAGTCACCTCTCCAGCTGGGCGTGGTGGCTCACGCCTGTAATCCAAGCACTTTGGAGGCCAAGGCGGGCGGATCACCTGAGGTCGGGAGTTCAAGACCAGCCTGACCAACATGGTGAAACTTCGTCTTTAAAAAAAAACAAAAAGTCGCCAGGCGCGGTGGCTCAAGCCTGTAATCCCAGCACTTTGGGAGGCCGAGGCGGGTGGATCACGAGGTCAAGAGA